GGGAGAGTGTATTATTGATGGCTGGAGATGCAGTGTAATGACTTTTATGTATTTGGTATGGAATCCACAAGAAGACGTAGTCTGAAAAGTGTGTAATTTTCTGCCACAAAATGTTTTGGATTTAAAATTTGTATTTCCTATCAGGGAGTCTGAACTCTGAACTGTCACTGTTTCCGATCGTGATCCCAATGTGCCACACGTGCACACATATGGTTTCTTTTTGGAAGATTCTCACACACATTGTGACAAGTGCTCACGCTATATTTTTACACATTCATAATGCATTTGTACAGAGTGGATTCATGTAATTCAATAATAATGATAATAATAATGTGTCTTCTGCCTGAAAACTTTATTGCCTTTAGGGGAGGGTATTGGGGCACACATCAGTTCCGTTTTTAAGTAGTGGTGCGCCGAAATGTAATATTCAGACCGAAATTGAAAATCAAAAATGTCAGGCCGAAACCAAAACTTATTTTTATTTTTTTTCCTTTTTAAAATTGTTTACATATTTTTTTTTACATTACAGTCAGCAACTTTGGGGAAATATCGAATACAGAACCCTGATATTTCCCTTTTGAAATAGAAAAAGAGATTGAGGACACAGAGTCCTAAATCTCTTTTGCTGCAACCCATCAATGGTGATAGCAACATTGGCGATAAACTATTTAAAATTAACTCAGTTACAAAAACTAGAGGCCACCACCTAAAATTGGTGGAAAAAAATTTCCAGCACAAGGGTCGAAAGGGGTTCTTCACAGTTAGGGTCTGGAACTCACTGCCACAGGCAGTGATTTCAGCAAGCAACGTGGAATTGTTCAAGAAACTTTTGGATGATTTTTTAAGGGACCGTAATATACAGGGGTAAAAATTGGTGGAAAAAAATTTCCAGCACAAGGGTCGAAAGGGGTTCTTCACAGTTAGAGCAGTTAGGGTCTGGAACTCACTGCCACAGGCAGTGATTTCAGCAAGCAACGTGGAATTGTTCAAGAAACTTTTGGATGATTTTTTAAGGGACCGTAATATACAGGGGTACAGGTACTCCTAGAATGAGATCCTAATAGGTTGGACTTGATGGACTAATGTCTTTATTCAACCTCAAATACTATGTAACTATGTAACCCCTTTTATGAATGAACAGGAAGCCTCTATACTGAGTGTTCTTGTCCATTCATAACCTGTGGAGATAGTATAAGTTACTATGTCCACAATCATGAATAAACAGGAAGTGACCTAAAGCACTTCCTGTTCATTCATAACTAGGGACACAGTAAACATGCAATGTCCTCAATTGTTTACAAGCAGTCAGCTGATCACTTGTACTCTGCTCTCCATCCTGACTCCTTCGGCTGAAGAGGGAGTGGTGCAGGGAGGAGAGCTCAGCCTCCTGTGATACAGCTGACTCCTCCCCCGCACCGACGGCTTGGCCTCCTGGGACAGCTCACATCAGTCTTCTCCACGCACCGCTCTCCATCCGGATTTGTTGTCACAGGAGGCCGAGCGGGGCAGTGCGGGAGGAGAGCTCAGCTTCCTGTGACACTGACTGCTGACTTTCCTCCCCGACCAGCTTGGCCTCCTGAAGGTTTCTTTCCTCAACCACTGGACACTGTGCTGTGTCAGAGGGAAATTAGAGCAGCGAGCAGAAAGCAGCGCCCAGCGAACAGGAAAGAAACCAAGGATGCACCACATTATCGGCCAGAAAATGGTACTTTCAGCATTTTGCCCAAAGTATAATTTTCATATGAAATGTTTCAGCGGCTGAAATGTTGGTGCAGCCCTACTTTTAAGTGGACCTGTCATAACTAAACACACACACACAACTGCATTACAATTATAAGTAAAAGGAAAAGTACCTCTTTTTGCCTTGAATTAAAAACCTGTCAAATCCAAGACCACAGACCAGCTCACACGGCGGCTGATGTATAGACCGTTCACACAGCAAAACGCTGTATTGGCCACTCGATGGCCTATGCTCTCCAGCTCCATCTAGTGGCCATACATTGCAGAAAATGTCAATCACACAGCAAAGAGCTGTGCAAATGGTTTAAGCATCAGCCCAATATTCTCTGCCAACCATACATTGGTGTCAAGAGGGTATTGTTTCTAACCAGCGTAATAAGACAAAAATATCAAAATGGAAGCCCCATGTACTAAGATAATTACAAACTATAGACAGAAATTAGGTTTTTATTCCTTTAACACACATTGATAATGTCTATATCATGTAGATCTTTCTTACATTTTTACATGTAAAAACAAACACTATAGTTCTGCGTTAAAGTGTATGTAAAGCCCAAACCTTTTAGATTATGTAATGGTGTTAAACCTCCAATCAGGCTTAGCAAAACTAAAAGTTTTGCCTTTACATATGCACTTTATTTGTTAAATGTTACCATTTCATAAATGATATACTTTCTTTAACCAGTTGCGGACATGAGACATTAGATTGCTGCACACGCACACCTCATAAAACATAATTGAAGCACACATGGCGTGTGTAGTAGCACACTGCCTCTCTCCGCCTCGTACTTGACAACAATAACCGGGAGTTGCTATGCAAGTCCACCAGCTATTACAGCTACTGCTGTCAAAAAAACAACCTTCTGAGTCAGAGTTTATAAGATAAGCAATACAAAGTAACATTATTACTTTTGTGTTTACTGTTTCATTCATCTGTAGATCAAAGGGCTTCGATCAGCATGTGGCCTGATTGCCATCCACTGCGGGCGAGTGGTGCTGTACAATACAATGACAGCACACTGACGCAAACACTCCGAGTCCGGGTATGATCATTCACGGGTAATTGCAACATGTGCAATTACATGCAAACAGCCACAAAGGACCGCGAGCAGTGGCAGCCGTCATTGTACTGTGCAGAGCCTTCTGTCCGCAGCTGATCACGAGTCTCACAGAGGAATTTATGAGACACATGTGATCGGCCCCATTAGCAAGTGTGTACGTAGCTCTAAAGTAGTATTAAACGCTAAGCATCCAGCGCAACAACAAAAACATTCCCCAGTAAAAATATTTTTTTTCATTTTTGCACTATCAATTGCCCTTTAGAACCTTCCATGCAGCTGGCCTCTTCTCCCTGAGCACTGCTTCCCCGTACTTTCAGTCGATGTTCAGGAGTACCAGTTACCAGAGGATAGTGCAGTCTCCACCTGCTGTCAATCTGTTAGCCTGGAGTGGGGAGAATCAAGGAATCAAGGGAGGAGCAGGGGAGAATCAAGGGAGGAGCAGGGGAGAATCATTAAATGGGTCACAGGGTATAATACTGTACCTTCAATCCCTGGAACTTATAAATGAAATCAACTACAACCTTGCCATGCGTTTGTGTGCATGTGACAAGCATTTTACCAGCCATGTTTTTAAACCTTGCATGAATGTGTGCCAATGATGCCCTTTTGGCGCACATTCCCGCAATGGCCGAGTGTGAACCGGGACTACTGGACATTGGGAATATGGCAGCCTGGCTCTGTATTAGGCTACTTATAATTCACACAAAAAAAACGCAACACAGAATACTCCTCCCCGTATCCAAACCGCAAACTAAAAGGGGCGGGTCACAGGATGTAAACAAACTGGCATACATGGAGGATGCCGGTACTGAAGATCCAGAATAAGAAGTGCAGAATTACAGAAAATACTTTGAGGGGAATTTATCAAAGCTGGAGCAGTTGCACAGGGCAACCAATCAGCTTCTCTCTTCAGGTTGTTCAGTTAAGATTTGAAAATGAAAGAGAGAAGCCGTTTGGTTGTCATGCACAGCTGCTCCAGATTTTGTCTGCTCCAGTTTTGATCAATTCCCCTCAATGTATTTTACAAGCTGGCAACAAGAAATAAAATGTGCAGCTATGCTTCAATAAAATGCACAGCACTGAGTACACGTGCTGGAGGTATGACCGGTGCTGCAGAAATAGAAAAACATTAATGAAAAGCTTCTATTAAAAATGGATGTTTCATTTAACTTTAATGAGCCGTCATTGTCACAGACACTAAAGACTACACCTCTCTGCAGTTCTAAGAAATCTCCATTCCACAGCAACAAGGGAGAGAGCTCGCCAGCAGCCCAATATCCTAATAGCAGGCCTAATTGTAAAGTCAAATCTATATTCTGACCCAAAATAATCCAGTAACATTTTTGTAAATTTTTAACAGCTTCCACTGCATTGCCAGCCGAAAACGTTCCATAGATGTTTTAGGGCTATAAATATGGAATCATTATTTTCACTGAAAAGGAGGAATTTCTTACGGGTCAGGACCAGAAGCAAGCCCGATGACCGTGTTTTTAGTAGGGACGCACCGATACCGATATTAGTATCGGTAATACTCCGATGCCTAGCCCGATACTTCCGGTATGAGGAGGCCGGGCAGCACATCATTACACGCTGCCCGGCTTCCTGATTGGCTGGGAAGCCGGCACCATGCTCCCTCGTT